TTACCCCAAATAGGGAGGTAAGGAGGAAAAACTGTTTGGGGGTGTGGGGTGGTGTTGAGAATCGGGGAGATGACTTGGCTAGGTAAATTGTTCAGCCTTTCCTTGAATGTAGGGATGCATTTGACTTCCTTAGCATTACCTGCAGAAGCTAGTAGTAAATGTTGTATACTATAGGTGCTAAATGGATGTTATTAGTAGAGATAGCTAATAGCCATCTTGGATGGCAGACCCTGGTTCTCCTTTCTGATGTTAAGTTCAGAGGGGTCTCTGGATCCCCACTGATTTTCAAGTCAGACTTATGGATATCTCTAGGCATCATCTTACTCACCCACTGCAAGCACATCTGTGGAGAATCTGACTTCTTCGTTTCTTTATTTTAGGCTCTCCCAGGGTGATCAACCATCTCAGTTTGCTCTGGGCTTGCCCAATTTAGTACCAAAAGTTAGGAGTCCCAGGAACTCTCACAGTTTTGGACCAACTGGGGCCTATTTCAGCTCTCCCAGCTTCAGAATAGATCTGCTGGAACCTACCAGCTGGATAGTTATTCATTTCATGTTCTCAGTCTGGATTGTTCTTCTCTTCGGTTGATCTTACTCTACTCTTTTGCTTCAGCTTCCTTATGAACGTTGATGACTGAGCCCCAGGTGTAGCCCCAACTGTCTCATTTCATAGTCATCTGAAGAAGCCAGCAAGATAATGCTGCATGCTAGTTTACCAGTTTGCAGTGGCTACTTCAAACCAACAGCTAAGCAACCTCATATTCTTAGAAGCAGATAAAACCCATATGCAATTTGTCACTGTTTAGCTTAGTTTTTGTTTTTTTTTCCTTTTTTGCAGTTTTTGGCCAGGGCTAGATTTGAACCAGCCACCTCCAGCATATGGGGCCTGGCACCTTACTCCTTTGAGCCACAGGCGCCACCCACTTTTTTTTTTTTATTGTTGGGGATTCATTGAGGATATAAAGAACCAGGTTACATTGATTGCATTTGTTAGGTAAAGTCTCTCTTATAATTGTTCCCACCCCTAAAAAGGTGTGTCACACACCGTGACCCCCCCCACCTGCCTTCCTCCCTTCTTCCTTCTCTATGCTCTTCCCTTCCCCCACCTACTCCCTCATTCCCTCTCTCTGTTCTTCCCTTCCCCTCCTCCCTCTCTCCTTCCTTCTCTCTGCTCTCCCCTTTCCCCACCTCCCTCTCTCCTTCCCTCTCTTAGCTCTCCCCTTCCTTCACCCCTCACCATGTACCAGATCATTATTTGTCCTCATATCAGAATTGAGTACATAGGATTCTTGCTTCTCCATTCTTGTGATGCTTTACCAAGAAGAATGTGTTCCACTTCCAAGTCCCATTTTTTGTTGTTGTTTTTGCAATCGCCACCGAAGTCTTCTTCATAAAGTCTTTTCCCAGGGTGATGTCTTCAAGTGTTTTTCCTATGCTTTCTTGTCACTGCTTAGTTTTAATTGCCAAGATAATTCTACGAAGTTAATCAGTAGCAGTTGGGTTGGAATAGGAGATAGGGCACAGACGGAATGAGGAGAAACTGCCATTGATGGATAACTTTTGTTCTGCTTCTAGTCAGGACATTGGTTATGTGGTGAGTCACTGAGAGTATGGTTGTCATTATAATCATAATGTTTCCATGAAGGCTCTAATATCTGATGTTCTGAGTGAGCTAGGCATACACAGCGAACTACCAGGTCTCAAGCTTCACTTTTAAAAAATCATGGTCCAAGACCAGATATTGATAGGGAAACATGCACGATGGATTAAAATTTTCAATATGGGGTACATCACACATTGCATGTCAACCATCTCTTCTACTGATTTCTAGATATTTCCAGAGTGAAATCCATCAAGCAAATATACCTTGTCCCCTGAATTGTATTATTAGCTTCTTGAAGTAAGAGGACAAATCCTTATACTTCCGTCTACAGACCTTAGCTATACAAGACAACTATAGATGCTCAGTAAGGGCACATTAAATCAACCTGATCTGATGGGTGCAGGCACACCACGTTTCAAGCTAATTACTTCCTTAGAAGGTAATTGTGTGTACTTCGTGGGGTTGTGGGGAGAGGCAAGAGACTATATATGCAAATTACTTCATATATCATCTAGCATTGGGCTCACACCTGTAATCCTAGCACTCTGAGAGGCTAAGGTGGGTGGAGTTACCTGATATCACAGGTTTCAGACCAGCCTGAGCCAGAGGGAGACCTCATCTCTAAAAATAGCTGCGCTTGTGGCAGGCATCTGTAGTCGCAGCTACTTGGGAGGCTAAGGAAAGAGAATTGCTTGAGCACCAGAGTTTGAGGTTGCTGTGAGGTATGATGTCACAGCACGCTACCAAGCAAGGGCAACAAAGTGAGGCTCTGTCCCCTCCTAAAAAAAAAAAAAAAAAATATATATATATATATATGTAGTGTAAAAGACTGAAATTGGACCCGCACCTTTCTCTACTTACAAAATTGATTCAAGATGGATAAAGGACTTAAATTTAAGGTATGAAAAGATAAAAATTCTCAAAGAAAGAATAGGAAAAACACTGGAAGATATTGGCCTGGGGAAAGACTTTATGAGGAAGACTGCCATGGCAATAGTAACAACACCAATAATAAACAAATGGGATTTAATGAAACTGAAAAGTTTCTGTACAGCCAAGGAGACAACAGCCAAAGCAAATAGACAACCTACTCAATGGGAAAGGATATTTGCTTATTTTGAATCAGAGAAAAGTCTAATAACCAGGATCTATGCAGAACTTCAATTAATTTATAAGGAAAAAATCCAACAACCCCATACATCAATGGGGAAGAGACATGAATAGAATCTTCTCTAAAGCCGACAGACGAATGGCTACTAAGCACATGAAAAAATGCTCATCATCCCTCATTATCAGAGAAACGCAAATTAAAACCACCCTAAGATATAATCTAACCCCAGTGAGAACGGCCTATATCACAAAATCTCAAAACTGCAGATGCTGGCGGGGATGTGGAGAGAAAGGAAAGCTTTTGCACTGATGGTGGGACTGCAAACTAATACAACCTTTTTGGAAGGAAGTATGGAGAAACCTTAAAGAACTCAACCTAGACCTCCCATTCGATCCTGCAATTCCATTACTGGGCATCTATCCAGAAGGAAAAAAAAAAACCTATTATTATAAAGACACTTGTACTAGGCTGTTTATTGCAGCCCAATTTACAATTGCTAAAATGTGGAAACAGCCTAAATGCCCTTCAACCCAGGAATGGATTGGCAAGCTTTGTTATATGTATACCATGGAATATTATTCAGCCATCAAAAACAATGGAGATTTTACTGCATTTGTACTAACCTGGATGGAGGTGGAACACATTATTCTTAGTGAAGCATCACAGGAATGGAGAAGAAAGAATCCTATGTATTCAACTTTGATCTGAAGACAATTAATGACAATTAATGACATGGTGGGGCTTGGGGGAAGGGGATACCAGACAGAGAAGGAGGGAGGGGGTGTAGGCAAGGAAAAAAAAAAGAAACAAACTAATGACTAATTCTTATATAAATTGTATTTAATTTGGACCAAAGTACATTACTTAAACATTAATTTTTAAGTCAACATGTTAATATGTTGTTTATCATATTGCATTCTCATTTATAAGTGAAATATGTTTGTAATTTCCCCTTTATAATAATATATTTTCTCCAATTTTAATATCAGGTATATCCAGATTAAGTAGAATGATTTTGAAGTATTTCTTTTTCTATTATCTATAAGATTTGGCTTGATCTGTCTTTTTGAAATTATCTGTTACTTTCACTTATAAATATTAGTTGTCTATTTTTTTTGAGACTTTGAAGAAAACAAAATAAGAAGTTAAGTGATCAAAGTATTCTATAATAGACATATTTCAATCTGACAATGTGAATGTTACTTTCTTTGCATTATTTCTATTATTATTGCTTAATATTTTGTTGTAGCAATCATCTGATCTCTTTTCTGAATGTATTTATCTTCATTCTTTCTTTATGAGGTTTTTGTTCTCAGTCCTTATGTTACATATTGTTGTCATTAAATTTAGCCTTTTTAATTCTGTAAAGGCAAAAGTGGAAACCTAATATACACATGTATAAATAAGAAAAATTAATAAAAAAAAATCTAGCACAGGGTGGCGCCTGTGGCTCAGTGAGTAGGGCGCCGGCCCCATATACTGAGGGTGGCGGGTTCAAACCCGGCCCCAGCCAAACTGCAACCAAAAAATAGCCGGGTGTTGTGGCAGGCGCCTGTAGTCCCAGCTACTCGGGAGGCTGAGGCAAGAGAATTGCTTAAGCCCAGGAGTTGGAGGTTGCTGTGAGCTGTGTGAGCCACAGCACTCTACCAAGGGCAATAAAGTGAGACTCTGTCTCAAAAAAAAAAAAAAATCTAGCATAGTTTACCATATTATCTGCTCAATTGTTAGCTATTTAATATCAACTTCTGCCTTCTGCTCAACTAGGTGTCTTTGGAAAAGAGTGAGTGTAGCAACTCTCACACAAATCTGTGGTCATTCAATTCAGTCTGTAGAAGCACACTGGTCAGTTGCCTATGTGTTGGGATTGAGGGACAACAAAAAATTTACTATTTCACCTATCTGCCTCACTTTTCTACTGTAAGTCCTGAAGAGGGATGCATTTGATGGGGCTGTGTGTGAGCCCCACTGTGGGACTGGGAGCGAGGGATGAACTAAAGTCGCCACATCAGGCACCTTATTCAGTCTTCATTCAGCTAACCCAATCAGTGCCAGGCATCGTCCAGGGGCTAGGGGTCCTTTAATGGAACAGGCATGTACCATTGCCCCATTTCACAGAAGGGAGTAGCGAGGGAACCACACAACACGGAAAGCCGCCTCTGAACCAGTGCGCAGGCGCCACGCTCCGGCGCGAACTCCTCCTCAGGCGTCTCCAAGCTCTTCCGGCGCAAGCTCACCGACACCAATGAGCGCGCAGCGGCGGGGCCACGCATGCGTCACACAGCCACGTCGGGAATCTGAATCCTTACTGCAGAGCGCTAACCCTGGAAGATGAAGTAAGGACTGAACTTCGCTCCGAGGAAGCGGAGCGGGGATGGAGAGTGGCTCGCTGGGGTTGGGATGGTAGAGCGTCTGTGAGCCCGAGGCGGGAGGTGGGGGGCGTGTCGACCAGAACACCTAGTCCTCTAGTTTTGCGCTTCTTCAGCTTAGGCTGGGCCGCACTTATTTGTCCGCTTTTTCGCCTCCTCCCCACCCCCACCCCCACCCCCGGTGCAGCCCTTTAACTAAGGTGAAGCTGATCAACGAGCTGAATGAGCGAGAGGTCCAGCTTGGGGTGGCGGATAAGGTGTCCTGGCACTCTCAGTACAAGGACAGCGCCTGGATCTTCTTGGGTGAGGTCCTCATCTTTCTCTCACAGTGTTTCCTGGATTCTCTCCTGGCGCTCCTCCCCACATTCATCGCTGATCATTTTTATGCCCGTCTGCTGTCTGCCAGTGAATCCATGTGCCATACTTATTTTCTCCCCCATTTCTGGTTTGCTATCACTGCCAAATCAGTGCTCGTGAGAGTTACTGTTCCCCATTCACCGTTCTAAAGCTCAGAGACTGTTCTCTCTCTTTCACACACACGTATTATACAGATGAGGAACCTGAGGTGGAGAGAAGTTAAGGGACTTCCTTAAAGTCACTTGCTAGTAAGTGCAACAGTAGTAACTGTCAGAGTCTAGAACTCATGATCTTAGCCAGTACCCTATTTTATTACTAACCTTCCTTTACCATTCTCCTCCCTCAGAATTCACTTTCCTCCTCTATTTGGCTCCTGCTGTCTGTTGGTGACCATATTATCATCCCTGTATTCACTTAGTGTCATAACCAGTAATTCTACAGTTTTACTCTTCAAAGAGGTTATTGTACCAGACATTGTGCTAAACATTTATTATACATTTTTATTTAATTCTTATAACAGTTCTGTGAGGTAAGGACTAGTATTCCCATTTTTTCAGATGAGGAAAGAGAAGAATTTCTCTTTTTGCAAGAGAAATTACTCTATGAAATGTTTAACAGTGTTTTCATAATCCTTAGTCTATATGTATGTAGGTGGGGTTAATAACGACATTAAACAGCTTTTGTATAATAGCAGTTTGTGGCTAATGAGAAGATGAATGCAAGATATATTTGTGGAAGAAGACTTTGTCCATAGGCTTTTGGGTGTGAGGAGAAGGACCAAGTGATCAGATTGATTTGGTTAGTGGTAACTTTGACCTTCCCAAAGTTAATCACTTCCTTTTCTGTACTACTGGCATTTCTGTCATTGCATCAGACTACGATTTCCCTGTGGCTTATTCTTTGCACCCCCAGTGCTTGGCCTAGTGCATGGTACATAGTAGATACTTGGTAAATGTTCGTTGAACTGAAATATGTTTTTTTCTTCTAGGAGGGCTTCCTTATGAACTAACCGAAGGGGACATCATCTGTGTGTTCTCACAGTAAGTCCCCTTTCGTTTCCTGCCTTCTGAGTCAGCAGAGTAGTTTGCTTCCATGATGTATTTTGTGGCACAATAAAAGCCATTTATTTTAATTCTGTGATGAATGGCATCCCTATGTGGGAAGGGCTGGAGCTTCTGCTCTTGTCTCAGTCAGTCTCAGGTCATGGTTCTAGAATACTCTCATGTGGAAGATCCCAGCAGTTGGATAATTTGGAAGGCTGTCTTAGAGATTCTGGTCTATTTCTGTTGTTTTTCCTATGGAGGTTTGTTCATCTTGGCCTTATACTGGAACAGACTGGAATTCTCAGGAAGTTCTATCCCACCTCCTTGGGCTCCTGCAAACTAGGGATAACCCATGATCACAGGACCTTTCTGAATCCTCACCTGTGTGGCAGTGTAGGATTGGGACAAAGCACAAAAGAACTGGGGGAAAAAACAGAAGGTTTAGGTGGTAGTTTGCTTTCTTTGTTTATAGATGAATGTAACGTTAGTGGGCAGAGTCAGTCTCTTTACCCAGAGGCTGAGAATCACAGGCTGATGAGGAACAAGAATGAATAGGAGACTGTATATTCTTCATTTTTGCTATGAGATGATGGCAAGAGCACTTGGTGGGAGAAGGTGTTGGCAGCTCACACTGGTAGTAGCTGTTGGTGGCAGAAAGACTGGGCAGCTGACACATAACTCCAGAGCTAAACAGAGTGGTTAGACAGGTTAAGAGGACCTTGGCATCTTACAGAGGAAGAGGGTCACTAACTCTGGGTTTTGTAGCCCTTAGGAGCAAAGGACTGTTTCAGAGAAGTTGGACAACATGTACAGACAGAGGACTGTAGGCTAAGGAGCTGGCCAAGCAAACACTGGCAGAGGGATTGCTGTGGCAGGATGGTTGGGTAGCTTGTGGGGCAGCAGGCAGTAGGAAAAGATTAGGGCAATACTGGTGAGAGGGCTGTGGTAGAGGGCCAAGGCAGCCCACACAGACAGAGGGCCTTGTCAGGGACAAACTCTGCTTCCTCCAATTTCTGAGTGTCAGGAAGTTTACAGCAGGTGCAGCCTATAATTTCTACCCCTTCTTGGATCCTCTACCAGTCTACCTGATCTAACTTTCCATTTTAGAGCTGTTTCTGTTTCAGTGGCATTGAGTGTCCAGCAGTGAGTGTGTGTGTATGTGTTCATTCTAATTCTCTATTCTGGCTATACGCGTTGTTCTCCATGAAGATTGTCTTTGCCATTGATAACAATGGCTTTCCAAACATGCTTTGTTTTCTGATTCTGAAGGTAATGTACAGTCATTATAGAACATTTGGCAAAAAGATATTAAGAAAAACTAGAATATAATCTTAAGGAAATACTTAACATTTTGGTATATTTCTTTATTGTCTTTTTTTTAAAATGTTGAGCATTATTTCTAATGGTTTGCTATTATAAATTATATTGCAGTGTGCATTGTAGCATATAAATCTTTGTGTTCATCCCTGATGGTTTCCTTAGGGAAAAAGGAATGTGGATCACTATGTTACCATTTTTAAGATGTTTTATAAATATAGCCAAATTGCTCTTTGGAAAGATTGTACCAATTTCCATTCGCTAGAATGTCTATTTTTCTGAATTCTGATTGACAGTGGTTATTTAAAAAAAAAACAAACTTGTATTCCTGGAGGCAGGAAAACAAATACTTGCCTAATAGTTTCTTGTTATTATTTTACTTTGCCTTTGTTTCATCAAACAGTGAGGTTGAACATCTTTTCATAAATTTGCAGCCTACTATTACTTATTTTTCTTTGTACATTGTTTATTCCTATCCTTGGCCAGTTATTCTCTACTTGTGTGTTCCTTTTTTTTGCTGCTGATTTTATGAGTCCATGTTCATGTATTAAGGATTTTATTTAACTCTTTGCTACAACACTTAGTCATGTATTATATTACAGAATGATTATCCCTTGTTCAAAATGCTTAGGACCAAAAGTGTTTCAAAGTGTTGGGTATTTTTCCCCCCAGATTTTGGGATATTTGCATATACATAGTGAGGTATCTTGGGGATGGGACCACCCAAGTTTCTACATGAAATTCATTTTTTTTTATATACACATTATACACATAACCTGAAAGTAATTTTATACAGTATTTTTAGTAATTTTTTTTTGAGACAGAGTGTCACTATGTTGCCCTTAGTAGAGTGCTATAGCCTCACAGCTCACAGCAACCTCAATTCTTGGGCTTAAGCAATTCTCTTGCCTCAGCCTCCCAAGTAGCTGGGACTACAGGTGCTGTCACAATGCCTGGTTATGTTTTGTTATTGTTGCAGTTGTTTAGCTGGCCCCGGCCGAGTTTGAACCCACCACCTTTGGTGTATGTGGCTGGTGCCATAACACTGTGCTGTGGGTGCCTAGCCAGTAATTTTGCAAAGTTTGTGTATGTTGAACCATCAGAAAGTACAGATATCAGGTGTAGAATTTTCCACTTATGTCATCATTTCAGCACTCAAAACCTTCTGGATTTTGGAGCATTTTGGATATCAGGTTTTTGGATTAGGGATGCTCAATTTAGATTATGGACTTTTGAAAAGTTTAGATAGACCCGTGCCCATAGCTCAGTGGGTAGGGCGCCAGCCACATACACTGAGACTGGTGGATTTGAACCTGGCTCAGGCCAGCTAAAACAATGGCAACAACAACAACAAAATTACCGGGTGTTGTGGCAGGCTCCTGTAGTCCCAGCTCCTTGGGAGGCTGAGGCAAGAGAATCGCTTAAGCCCAAGAGTTGGAGGTTGCTGTGAGCTGTGATGCTACAGCACTCTATTCAGGGTGACAGCTTGAAATTCTGTCTCAAAAAGTAAATAAAAAGATGGGCGGTGTCTGTGGCTCAGCGGGTAGGGCGCCAGTCCCATATACCAAGGGTGGTGAGTTCAAACCCGGCCCCAGCCAAACTGCAACAAAAAAAATAGCCCAGCCTTGTGGCAGGCGCCTGTAGTCCCAGCTGCTCGGGAGGCTGAGGGAAGAGACTCGCCTAAGCCCAGGAGTTGGAGGTTGCTGTGAGCTGTGTGATGCCACAGCACTCTATGAAGGCAATAAAGTGAGACTCTGTCTCTACCAAAAATAAATAAATAAATAAATAAAAGATTAGATATGATATCATCATTATTCTTTCTTGATGCTTAAGTTGTCCCATTTATCCTTTCAGGCCAGTTCCTATATTCTTTTTCTAATTTGAATTTTGAAATAATTTTAGGCTTAAAACAGGAAGATTCTAAAATAGTATAAAAAATACCTTTATCAAAAAAAAAAAGATATGGATATGCTACCTGTACCTACTTCATCAAGATTTCCCAGATGTGAGCACCAGCCACATACACTGAAGCTGGTGGGTTTGAACCCAGCCAGGGCCAGCTACACAACAAAGGCAACTGCAAAAAAAAAAAAAAA